ACATGCAGGCATGTGCACTTGCAGCAGCTCAAATAAGAGCAGCACACGTGCCTGAATATGCACTTTGGTGTGGGACAAGTTGTGCCACGTGGGACAAACTAACCCTGTCCAGCTCCCCCTGGATCTTCAGCTAGGGGGAGTTAGAGCCTGAGGCCAGCACCTGTGCTGGGTCCACTCAACATGTACAGAGCCCGTGTCAGGCAGTGCTGTGCTGCTGCTGTGCCTGCAGCCAGGTCACAGCCCAGCTGGCTGCTGCTGCCAGCTCCGCAGGGGGTGGGTGGGGAGGCTCCCACTCAAGCCCCCCCACAAACCCTGCATCCCCTATCACTGTTCACATCCCCCCACACCCCCCTTACATCCCTACACTACTCCTCACACACCTCCACACCCACTGTACCCCAATATCCATAAACCCTCCCACTTCCATATCCCTAACTTACCTAGAACAGTGCCTGGGTCCTGGTCATTCCATAGCTTTTCCCCACTTCTGTTTGCCTCAGCACACTAAGGGTGTGCTCCCTGCATGCTGGGGCAGCAGAATCTCCATAGAAATACTCTGGCTAGAAACCAGAGTGTCCCTCTGGAGCACCAGCTTCTGGGCTGCCTCAGGACATAGTCCTAGACCATGTCTTGCCCTGCTTTTTTCTGTGGAATTTTTATTTTATACCTGGATTTCCAGGTATCATATTTGCAGCATGAGCTGAAAAAGTGTAGTGTGGGAAACATTTTTTTTTGTTCCCAGTGCGCCTCTTGCATTGTCTCAAACTGCTTTGAGATGCTGCAAGAGGCACGTGCGCGCTCGGCTAGATGTGCCCCATGAGATTTCTTTTGGCCCAATCCTCCAATTTGTCTAGGTCACTCTGAATCCTATTCCTACCCTACAGTGTATCTACTACTCCCCCCAGCTTGGTATCATCTGCAAACTTGCTGAGGGTGCACTCAATGCCATCTTCCAGGTCATTGATGAAGACATTGAACACAACTGGACCCAGTACTAACCTCTGGGGCAATCCACTTGATACCAGCTGCCAACTAGACATCAAGTCATTGATTAGTACTCCCTGGACCCAATGCTCCATCCATTTTTCTATCTACTTTTACAGTTCATTCATTTATTAATTCAACTGTTCAACTCCCTTAGCACCCTTGGGTGTATCCCATCCAGCCCCATGGACTTGTACATATCCAGATGTTCTAAGTAGTCCCTAACCTGTTGTTTCACCACTGAGGGCTGCTCACCTCCTTCCCAAACTGTGCTTCCAGGTGCAGTAGTCTAGGAGCTGAACTTGCCTGAGAAGACTGAAATAAAAAGAACATTGAGCACTTCAGCCTTTTCTGCATCCTCTGTAAACAAGGTTGCCTCCCTCATTTAAACCCTTCAAATTAATACACACAGAGATGGACTCATGAGGCCTATTCCAAACTTCTAGATTCTAGGAAATAATAAGATTAATCTCCAATTTTGCTTGACTAACCACATTTTAAGCATTTCCATTGCACGCACATCAAAGATAAAGTCTTCCACTGTGGGTGATGGTGCAAAAGGATGAACTTTCTTTCAAAAAAAAATCCTAAGGAATTCATATTTCTTCCCAAACCAAACCCGAAATTCAGCAATTTGTCAGTCAGAACAAAACAGCCAATGTTTTATCTAGTTAGAACTGCAAGATCATTTTAGTTTAGCATGAAGCTGAGTTAGAATGCAGCCAGGACAAGCAGAACTACCCTCATGAATTACTAAAGGGCTCAAATGACCAAGATTTCAATTTTATATCTCATCTTAAAGAAAGTACTGCCAACAGCACAGCCACCACTTCCTGAGTATTCAATTAAAGGGAAGGCTACCACCAACTACTTATTGCAGCAGATAGAGTATCAGTCCACAGGACAAGGAGGCCCATAACCAAGACAACTTTTTGTTGGAAGGGAGGAAGGTAGTTAGTTTTTAAAAACATCTATAACCACATAAAAAATGTTTCCTTTTTTTCCCAACTGGGCAACAAGCTAGGGATGTCTTACCTGCCTGCTTTAGTGATGATCATCTCAGTCCCAATGTCATGAAACCTCTTCCAAAGGTCAGCACATTGCAGCTCTACTTGGATCTCCTCCATGGAGGAAGGAGGAGGTGGCTGGGGACCTGAGCCACCAGAGGTGAGGTCAGAATGGGAGCCAAATGAGCAGGATGTTCTCTCCGCCAGCACTTCTGTGTCTGAACCAGTACTCTGCTCTGAATCTGAAAAACAAACACGTAGGGTAAGACACTTCAACTCTACTACCCAAGCAAAGCAAAAAATGCCAATATCACAAAACTTTAGAGAGTGGTGCAAAGACATTTTATGATGGCCTTTTATTATATATTTTATGGTTTGCTGTAATTTACAACCTGTTTTCTGGTTTCACATTTTCAAAATGGCATCTGGTGTTTTAGTAAAGTTTTAGAAACAGATTTTGAAAAGAGAGAGCCACAGCACAACATAAAATATAAATAGTAGCAAGTATCACAGGGATTCCAGGAATGGAGCAAAAATGTAAATTTAAAAAAATAGAAAAGAAAAAAACAGCCTTTACTTTCATTCCAAGATTAGATGGGCTCACTGGAAAGTGTGTGCAATTTAATTGCATAGCATGAAGACTTTTCTATTTGGGCAGGCATTTAGCAAGCAAAGCTAGGCTGAAATGTTTTTCAGTAGGTCCCACTTTACTTTGTTCCATTTTTTTTGGTTTATTTATTCTAGTTGCCCTTTTAAGTTTTTCTGCTTCTCTTCCTGGACATTCCCTTGAGTCTTTGTTGGGAAAGGAAGCATATAAACTGTATAATTAAAGTAAGTAAATAAATCCTAAATTTCTACTGCAGGATTAGTTATTTTTAAATGGTGTCTTTTTTTCCTTTTAATATTCTTGTCATCAAAAATATTAAAGACTTTTTCTCATTTGGTTTAGGTTTCTAATCAGCACCTCTTTGAAAAAAACATGTGATTTGTTCCTATAATACATATTTTAGAACTATGACATTTCCTGGAAAAATGACCATGCAGCATTTAAAAAGGAAAATGCTCTAGGCTACTGAAGGAGGGAAGGTAAACATATGGAATGAGTTACTGGGAAAGCAATTAAAGGATTTCAAGAGACACCTAGATCTCTTTATGGAGAAGAAAGAGTACAGGGTTCTGGCTAAAAAAAAATCAGAGAGATGAGACTGAGATCAACCAAAATAAATGCTCGCATGTTAGGCCAGATGGCCATGTCCTGTGCTGAAATATCTTTTGTTTTCATAAGAAACAGCTTTGTGATCTGGATAGTGTTACATGGCAGGGGTAAGTTAGAATTCTATTAAACAGCACTGTTACTTTCCAGTGGGTTAAAAAAAACCCATGAAAAATCCTGTCATTTTAAATGGGCTGCCTTATTTTAATGGATCTTATAACAAACTGATAATCATGTTAACTAACTAACTATTACTGATAATTGATGATACACAGGGGGCACATCTACATATGCACTTTAATGCTCAGTGGCTTATTTTATACGCATTAAAGGAGCATGTAAAAAAACATGCTATTATGCTACTGCACAGCACAATAAGCGACTGCATATTAAGCATCACCTAAAAAGTTTGTGCTTGTGCTACTGAGCATTAGTGCATCCGAACATGTATTAATTTAGTACCTCACATTGGAAGGTGCCTATAGATGTGCTGCAGGGCTGCTCCAACACCTCGTAATTACAGCATGTCAGAGCAGACTCAATTAATTGAGTCTGCTGGAGCATGGTAATTGCCGCACTCCAGCCAGCCTCCATGTATCATGTATTCATAGATTTCATAGACATTAGAGCTGGAAAGGACCTTGCAAGATCATGGGGTCTAGCCCTGGTCTCACCAAGGCTGAGTAAAGTGGGAGGGTCTTGTTTGAGATGCATCAGAAGTTGCAGGCCGGAGTTTTGTTTGCTTTGCCAGATGCAGCATTGCATTGGTGGCTCATGTTCATCTTGTGGTCAATCATGACCTCCAAGTCTCTTTCAGACGTGATGCTAGCTAGCGTACAACTGCTGAGCCTGTAAGTGTGGTGTGGGTTCTTTCTCACAAGGTGAAGCACATTGCAAGATCCACCTGCCCTAAAGCCATGTTGGCCATCTCTCAGAATATTACCTTTTGCTAGGATGTTGATAATGGTTTCCTTGATGATTTTTTCCAAGATCTTTCCAGGGATTGAGGTCAAGCTATTTTGCCTGTAGTTCCCCGGATCTTCCCTTCTCCCTTTCTTGAAGATAGGCACCACGTTGGCCCTCTTCCAATCATCAGGCACCTGGTGATCCTGCCTCTTGTTAGGCAGAGTGATCCCACTGGGATGATGGAAAACTGACCCGAAGTAGTCATTAAAGAGATTGGCTTTTTTCTGAGTTGTCGGTTATCAGCTGCCGAACCTGGTTTAGTAAGGTCCAATGTTATCCTTATTCTGTTTCCAACTTCCCACATATTTGAAGAAGGACTTTTTATTGTCCTTGATTTGAGTGGCCAGTTTTTGCACTTGGTTTCAGCCTTGGCTTTCCTAGTTTGCTCCCTGCAAAAGTAGGCTAGTGCTGAGTACTCCTCCTTAGTGCTGCTTCCCATCTTCTATCCTTTATGTTTCTTTTTTTAAGTGCAGGAGGTCCTTGAGTTCCCTATTGAGCCAAGGGGATCATCCAGGCCCTTTGCTACTTTTTCTGTGGGTTGAAATGGATTTCCCTTCTGCTTCAAAGATTGCATCCTTGAGGAGTGACCCTTCATCATGGACATTCCTCCCTGCCAGATTGTGATTTCTCATGGCCTCAACAACTAGCCTCCTAAGCTTGTGAAAGTTGGCCTTCCTAAAGTTGAGGACTCCCGTATTGCTGACTGACTTGCCAGCTTTGCAGTGAATAGAGAAAGTGATTAACTCATGCTCACTGTCTCCCAGCTTCCCTTTGATTCTCAGGTCACTGACTAGATCATGAGCAACTGGTGCCTCCTGGCTCTGGGGTGGCACCAACAGCAGATCGCAGATGGGGGAAAGAGGTGTCCCCCAGAAGTGCTGGTGGCAAACCAGAAGTGCCACCAGTGCTTCTCATGGGGGGGGGGGGGA